GGTGGGTTTGTCTCTCGGTCCCCCAATCGGATCCGCGTAGCCGCTCTTGTGTGTTTCTCCGCCGCAATGCTCGGATTCTTCGTGTGTTGACGGCGGAGGTTTTCCTTGTCCTCCACCTCGCTGGCGTGCTCGGTTGTTTTTCCGCCGTATGTTGGGAAGCTCTTGATGTTCGATTTCTTCTCGACTTGTTGGTGAAGTTTTTTCTCGTTCTCCGATTCTTCAGGATTTTTTGCTTCAGGAAAGTTCATGGCGCTGTTAACTCTAGTCCGTATGGGAATGTTCGATTTCTTCTCGACTTGTTGGTGAAGTTTTTTCTCGTTCTCCGATTCTTCAGGATTTTTGCTTCAGGAAAGTTCATGGCGCTGCTAACTCTAGTCCGTATGGTTCTGTTTTGGGGGTTCAGAATTCACTTGACTCATTCTTGTTGTTTCTTAGTTTCCAGGCGACAGGCGTGATGGTAGAGGAGAAGAGGGAGAGGGCGGAGGAGGCGTCCGAGAGCCCGCAGAAATCTCCGCGCCTGGACCCGCTGGCTGCGGCCGTGGCAGGTCCTGGATGCAGCGACGCGCCTGCGTCTCCGACGGAGTCGAGCGACGAGTGGCCATCGTCCGGGGAATCGGAGGCGGGGACAAGCAGCGACAGTACCGGCGATGGCGGGCGGTGCGAGCACATACGCTTGGACCGCGAACTCCTGGATATGCACGTGTATTATCTCACGGAGCAGCGGGCGGTGCTCCGGACGTGCCATCTTAGTAAGTGCAAGACGACCTGTAAGGGCAACGAAGGGATGATGAAGTGCATAAACTGCTCCAGATTCTTCTGCTCTGGGTGGCCGGTGAACAGGGAAAGCCCGCAGGAACATGCCCTCTGGCACGCTGGCGAGAACACGCATTGGGTTGCTCAGTGGTGCGATGAACCGAATTTGGGATACTGCTTCTTGTGTGCGCGCGGTATGAGGCTCAGTGACCGGAGCGAAGATGACTATGCAGTGGCGGCCAGAAACAAAAAGGATCAGCAAGGACTGGGGGATAGCGTTGCAAAGGATGGCTGGGGATCGGTGTCTGGCATTGCAAAGGATGGGTGCAAGCCGGGGGGCAAGAACCCGCAGAACCCTGAGAACACGCAGAAATACCCGCACCTGGACCTGCCTGCGTCCAAGGCACCTGTGTTGTTGAGCGAGTCGCCATCGACGGGGGAAGTGGAGGAGACCAGCGACTGCACATACGACATCGGGTCATGCGAGCACTTGTTCAAGGACAGGGAGGAGCTGGATGATATGGTGCATGATATCAAGACCGCCGAGAAGCCCCCAGAGTGCGAGCATTTCCTGTGCACGACCACCTGCACCTGGAGGGGAGCTGCTGCTAGGTTTATGGTGTGCACGGAGTGCACCTCTACTTTCTGCACCGGGGAGAAGGGGGGCATGGAAAATCCGCAGGGACACGCCCGCTTGCACGCCACCAGGGACTACCATTGGGTTGCTCTGTGGTACGATGAACCGTATAAGGGCTACTGCTTCGAGTGTGGGCACGTTCTGAAGCTCGGTCAGGACAAGCTGAGCGATGATGAGTGGGCAGCTCTGGCCAGAAATAAAAGGGTTGAGCGGGCAATGTCGGCCAGCAATGGATGGGATGTGTGGCGAACGGTGCCCGAGAGTTATGCAAAGGATTTGTGGGCAATAGTGACCGGCAATGATGCGTCTGGGTATGCTAATGGGAATGGCTGTGTTATCAGAGGGTTGCCGAATCTTGGAAACACATGCTACATGAATGCACTGCTTCAGTGCCTCCTTGCACTCGGTGAGCTGAGGACAACGATTTTAGGACCGGGTGCTCGGCTGGGGAGCATTGGTCTGCACCTGAAGCAATTATTTGTGGAGACAAGCAGCACAAATGATGCCAGGCACACGCTGGATCCAGAGATGCTATTGGAAGGTATGCGGGTGTTTAATCCACAGTTCAAGGGCTCTTATATGCAGGACAGCCAAGAGTTTCTTACATCTTTGCGCACTGCTTTGGAGGAGGAGACGAAGGACCTAAACAAATTTCATGGGGGTGCAGAGTTTCGTCCAATTGGCAATTCCATTTTCGGGGGCTGGCTGCGTCAGACCTTATACTGCATAAGTTGCCCAACTAAATCAGTTTTGGATCTGCAATTCGATGAGCTCCAACTGGCACTGCCATCAAAGGATTGTCCAGCCAGAAGTGTTACGTTACCACCAATGACCAGAAGCGGTGGATCTCCGACGAAGACTCGTAAGGAACTATTCCAACAAACCGACAAGACCGATGGAGAAAAGATTCAAACAATTGCTGAAGGCTGTGATTCTCAGTTTCCTGGTTCAGAATTTGGAGATGTGGCCATGGAGAAAATACCCAAGCCTTTGCAAGTTGGTAAGTTTATGTGCTCCTCTAGCGAACTTAAAACATAGAATGCGGAACAGGCCAGCAGGTGTGGAATAGTGAGATCTAATACAAGCTAGCTATTTTTCTGAACACGGGAACAGATGACACTTTTGGGGATGGAGCTCTGGTGATAGTTAAGCAGAGAAAATTGTTAAGGCCATTTTACATATGGATTAAAGAAGTAGCAGCAAAGCCTTTGGGGTGGCTACGAAAAATTGGGCTGGATGTTTCAACAGTCTTAGCATGGCAAAAGTGTTTGCTATAGTGTAGTAGTTCGAATTGACATTTGAAGATAGCTCAGGGTCTTGAGTCCTTACCTTCATAAAATAAGTGTTGCTCAAAATGGTTGGTTAACTTAAGCGTGTATGGTTATTGTCGAGAAAAGAGACCTTAGAATGTGGTGGTTAAAGATTCTAAAAATATGCAAAGGATGAGGGTTTCTGGTTGCATGATCTTGCTAATGAGATAAAGCTAAATCCCTGTATGCTTGAATCTGCAGATTCTACTGAAGTGGAGGATGTTGCACACGGTCGTTTGCAGACTCAGAAGAATGATGTCCCGCGAGAGATCATTGAAGTGCCAATAAAAGCTCTTGATTTCATTGCTAACTTGTTTGATGACACTGAAGGAATGGATGAATCAATAGTAGATCCTCACAGTCCAGAAGATACTGGTCCACCTCCACTTGTTGATATAGAAGCCAAGGAGAACACTTACTCAGTAGAACCTACTACAGAAGACAAGGGGAGAGCTCAGAGCAGTGAAATTACTGATGATGAGGCAGTACATATGAACTCTGTTGCATCGCTCGAGGACTGCTTGACACTTCTTTGCTATTGTCCAATGGGATGGAAATGTGGTAACTGTTCCAAGGTTGTTGAGCTTGGAGATAATAAGATTCAAACAGTTGCTGAAGGCAGCACTTTTCAGATTCCCAGTTCAGGATTGGGAGATGGGGCAATGGAGAAAACCCCCAGGCCTTTGCAAGTTGGTAAGTTTATGCGCTCCTGTACTCAACTTAGAAAGAAATGGTGAACGTCTGAGATCATACAACTTTTGAGGAAAGAATGCAGGAACATGCGGAATTGTGTGATCTACTAGTATTATTTGCTATTTCTCTGGAAACAAGCCAATGGTACTTTTTGGAATGGAGTTTCATAACTAGCTAAGCAGAGAAAACTGTTATGGACGTTTTACACATGGATAAAAGAAATAGCAGGAAAATATTTTTGGGTGGCTACATAAAATCCTACAGTATGTTTCAACAGTCTTAATATGGCAAAGGTGTTCACCGTAGCGTAATAGTTCAAACTGCCATGGGAAGACCAGGATCTTGAGTCCTTACCATCATACAGTAGGTATTACTCCAAATGGTTGGTCAACTTAAGCGTGTTTGGATTCTGTCGGAAAAAAAATAAACAGCTTAAAGTGTGCACAATTGTTATGATGGTAATTGTTATGGACGTTTTTCACATGGATAGAAGAAATAACAGGAAAACCTCTGGCGTGGCTACATAAAATCCAACAGG